GCTAAAATAGTGCTTGAAGAGAAAAATATAGCTTTAAATGCTGTATTATAAAAGAAGAAAGGTATTAAATTAATGACCTAAGATTCCACCTTAGAAACTTCAGGCAAAAACTAGGAAAAAGTGTTTTTTAAAAAGTTAAGCCCAAAGTAGGAGTGAAATAATAAAAGTGAGAATAGAAATCAATGAAACAGAAAATAAACAATAGAGAAGTAAAGCCAAAATTTGAATCCTTTGAATAGGTCAACAAATTTGATGTACAGAAAAACAAGAGTGAAAATATGAATTGCTAGTACCATGAAAGAAAGAGGGAATATCACTTAGATCTTAAAGACATTAAAAGAAAAATGAGGGAATATTATGAACAAATCTCTGTGGGTAAATTTGATAACAATGAAATATCTTTAAAAATACAACTTAGAATAATTGACAGATAATAAAATAGAAAATTTGAATAGCCCTATATTTACTAAAGAAATGAATTTGTTCTCAGAAATTTCTCTCAGAGAAAACTCCAGCCCCAGATGGTTGTACTGGTTGATTCTATCAAATATTTAAAGAAGAAATAACACCAATATTAAACAACTTTTTGAAAATACAGGAAGAACACTTCCTAACATGTTTTATGAGGACAACATTACTTTGATTCTAAAACTCGACAAAGATATTACAAAACATAAAATTACCAACCAGTATCCCTTATACTTAGAATCATAGAATCTAAGAAACATATAAAGAGGATTTTACATCATGACAAAGAAGAGATTACCCCAGGAATACAATATTGGTTTAACATTTGAAAATCAATCCATGTAATTCCTACATTAAGAGAACAAAGGAGAAAAACTAAACAGAAAAACATTTGACAAATCTCACCTTTCATGATTAAGAAAACAAGGAAACTCTCAGCTAATGGGGAATAGAAGGAATTTTCTTCAAACTGATAAAAGACATTTATAAAAAACCTACAATTAATATTATCTTTTAAGATTGAATGTTTTGCCCCTAAGATTGGGAATAAAGCAAGGATGTCCACTCTCACCATTTCTAGTCAATATCTCAATAAAACAAGAGAAAGAAAAAAAAGATAAAAGTGGAAATTTAGAAAACTGTCTCTAATTGCAGGTAACATGATTGTTTATGTAGAATATCTTAAAGGAATCTACTAAACAACTTCTAGGACTAATAAGTGAATTTAGAAGTTTTTAGGATACAAGGTCAAAATGCAAAATTATATTTTTATATATTCCAGGAATAATCAATTAAAAAATGAGATTCAAAAAAACATCCATTTATAATAGTATCACAAAACAAAAATATTGACAAATTTTTTTTAAAAACAAGCAATAACTTTATTGAAAACTAAAAAATATTGCTGAAATTAAAACAACTAAATCAGTAAAAACCACTTATTCATGGATTGGAAGATGCAATATTGTTAAAATGGCAATTTTCCCCAAAATGATTTATAGTTTCAATGCAATTGTAATCATTTAACCATGAGGTTTTTAAAAAAAGTTTATCTCAAATTTAAATGGAAATGCAAAGGACCTATAATATTTAAAAAGTAGTGTTTTCTAATAGAGCTTTCTATGATGATGAAAATATTCTATATCTGCAGTGTGTGACTACTGAGCACTTGAAAGGTGGCTAGTGTGACAGAGGAACTGATCCTTTAATTTTAATTATAATACTTGTATGTGGCTAATGGCTATTGTATTGAACAGTGCAGAAAGTAACTCTGAAAAGAAGAGAACTTGTACTACTTTAAAGCTTAGTATAAAGCCACAATAATTAAGACAGTGTGCTACTGGTATAAAACAGACAAACAGATCAAAGGAAAAGAATAGAGAGCCTAGAAATCAGTCCACACTTAGATGACAAAGATGCTAAAACAACCCAAAGGGGAAAGGAAAACTGGATATTCACATGTAATAAAATGAACTTCTAACTCCATCTCAGACTGTACACACACACAAAATTCAAAATGGATCATAGACCTAAATATAAATGAGAAAAGTAAAAAGTTTCTTGATGTAAACACAGGAGAATATCCTTACAGCTTGGGTATAGGCAAAATTTCTTAGATCATGGAGTGTAATCACAAAAGAAGAAATTGATAAATTAGACTTAGTTAAATTTACAATTTCACATCAAAATGCAAAGACTGCCTAACTACACATACAGTCAATAATGTGGATGAATCTCAAAACATTATGCTGAGTGAATGAAGTCTACAAAAGGGTTCATATACTATGATTCCATTTGTATGAAATTCTAGGGTAGGCAGAACTAAGTTATGGTAAAAAACAAAAGTAGGAGACTATTTGCATCTGGGGGCTTGGCTGATGTGGAAGGGGTATGTGGGAACTTCCTGTAGTATTGGTAATGTTCTATATTTTGGTAGAGATTTGGGTTACATAGGTAGATTTGTCAAAACTCAATGAATGGTAAGATGAGGTTTCTGCATATCTGCATTCTAAAAATACCTGTAAACAAATACTGAACTCTAGTTAATTATATGCATACTGAAGTGTTAACGATATGCATACTAGAGTGAGGTGTAACTACTGGTCAAGTGCGGAATTTCTTACAAAGTGGCGTAGATGGAAGAGATGGAAGAAGAGAGAATAATTCCTTGAGGATTGCTCCCAAGTTGAATTGTTTGTTGTGATTCTATTCATTTTAAGAAAATTTTCTTTACCTTTTTGACAACACTTTTCTTGTTACTGGATCATTACTTTTTGTTTTGTGATCCTGTATTTTGCAGGAAGAGTCTTACTTTGTTTTCTAAATCAGTGGGCTTCTTTCATTGTTGTGTGTAATTTGGCTGATTCTTTACTCTTTTCTCACAACTTTTTTTTTTTTTTTTTTTTTTTGTAGAATTTACAAGTGTAAGCAGAGACTCTCCATATTATAAGATGCCTTTATATCAGTAATTTTATTTCTCAAGGCAGTGACTATAAACTTACTTATGGTTAGGATAGTAATGCTTACAGCATTCTAACTTTTCTTTAAGAATACAGTACTTTTAACATTGGAGCTAGATTAGGCTTTTTATTAACTACACTTTCTTGGGATTCACAAAAATAAAAATGCACATTGTAGAAAATTTTAGCCTTGATCTTGCTAGGGTTTTACTTGCACACATACTTTATGTTATGGTGGTGGGTTAACTCACGGAAGGTACTCTGTTACTATCCCAGCGTCTTTCAAAGTACCTTTCATCAAGTAGTTCTCTTCTGATATACTCTAAAATGTGTTGCTGTTATAAGGGAGTCAGTTATAATAATGCTTCTCAATCCTACCACTCTTCAAATAACAAACATTTTAAATAACCTGTTTCTATCCCGTAGTTAAGAGATTGTTTAACCAGCTACACACAAAAATTCAATGAGATTGCCCTAATTGTTATATAAAGAGGAAATAAAAGGAGTATAATTAATAAACATTTCAATATGTAAATCTGGGGGCATGATGTAGTTAGTAGTCAGATGCTTGTATTCCGACATGACACTGAATGAGCAGCTACAAATGCAGACTGTCGCAGGTGTGTCGCATTGGTGCCTGTGCACCACAAGCAGGATCGCTGTCCGTTGCAATTTTCTGAAATATTTGACCATTCTTGATAAAGTTCTGGCTAAACCAAAGGATAAATTTCCCTCAACTTACATGTTATGTGTGTTTCTGGAATTCTGGCATCTATTCAAATCATGCAAACAAAAGCTTTGTTTATATGTAAACAGAGTTAAGTGCTGCTCAGATCATTATGAACAGATATTTTATCTTCAGGAATGTCTAAGAGGACATTGCAAAGCCATGAAGGTCAGAGAAGAATTCTCTTTTGTGGAGGCCTCTCCTGTGAATGGCAGGTCATCTAGCTTATCTGTATAGCATTTCATGCCATCGTTGGTCCTTAATCACTCTGACAACAAAACAAACTTCAAAAACATCATAGTGGGGTTTTTCACAATTGATCGCTTTGGCAATTGTGCCACTTCTCAGAGGAATGTTTTTAATGTGTAAGAGAAATGGGATTACAAAGGAAACCAATTGTATTGAAATACAGACCCCGAGTTAAGAAATGCAAAATGTGCACGGGGAAGGCAGTATAGCACAGAGAAGACAAGTAGTGGCTCTATAGCATCTTACTACACTGATGGACAGTGACTATAATGGGGTATGTGGGGGGGAATTGATAATGGGGGGAATCTAGTAATCACAATGGTGCGCATGTGATTGTATATTAATGATACCAAAATTTAAAAAATTACATCAAAAAAATATGGAAAAGCATAATGGTTACTATATGACCATTCATACTTACAATCGAACAGAGCAAAAAAAAAAGTGTAAAAATGTAATAACATACCCTTCTCCAATATTCATACTCCAGTTGAGTGTTATAAGGGTTTTCTGTATTTGGGAAATAGTAAAAGCTTTAGTAATAAATTATTATGGATTTGAAAGTGCATTTGGGTGCCTATATCATTTGGTCATCAATATAATGGCATCAGTAGGAGATTAACATCAATTCTTTAATAGAATCTAAAAGAATGAAACAAATAACATGGGATTGTACTTCTATTCTAATTTTGTATCTTACTGGAAATTAAGTATATCAAATGGACTAAGGCTCCTATTTCTCACTCTTTTCTCATTATGACTAAACTACCTCTCTGATTAATATCAATTAAAGCTCAGATATGTGCCAACTTGTGTGTTCATGTATTACTTAAGGGAGTAAGGTAACCTTAACAGAACAAAATCTTCCACCTGCCATTGGGCAAGTTGGTAAATAACTTATTTGTAGAAACATGATACTTTAAACACAAATGGTTCTAAGAATAGGAATTGTAAAGCAAAATAATCAAGAGTTCATTTCAACAGGTGCTCACTCGGTGTTTTCTAGGAATGCATTGAGAAAGGTGACTATATTGATGAGTATAGCTTATCATGACAAATGTGCAAAGTATCATGAGAATGATTTTTATTTCTTTTAGGGTATGTCTCTGTGCCAGACTGTTGTCGTAGGTTCTGTAGTCATTCTTCTCTACTCTTCAAGAGCATGTTATAATTTAGTGGTGATCACTGTATCTCAGGATACATTAGAAAGTCCATTTAATTATGGCTGGGATAATCTTTCAGAGAAGGTAAGTACCTACCATGTATAATTGCCAATCTAATAATATAATAATGAAGTTAGACTTAACTAAGAATATTTTAAGTGTTTGACTTAGAAACACTTTTATGGCATCTCTAGCTACTATCAGTAATCATAACTTAAAGTTCTATGTTTAAAAATCCTCACTTACATGTGGCACTTGAAATCATTCCTCAGAGAGAACTTCTCCCAAAGGAGTATTTTCTTTTCTTTTAGTAAATGATACTAATAGTGCCATAAACCTATTGGTCATAATCCAGTGTTTTAAAGGATAGCATTTGAATATCTCTAGATAAACTGATTGCCTTTCATTAGCTAATGGATATGGGCATATCCTTAATTCTCTCTTACCCAAGACATATACTTAACCTAAATATTTGGTTCAGTTCTAGGTGTTTAAGTAATGACTTTTATGAAAATGTGAATTATCAGTCTTTATAATGGGAGAGTATTCCCAGTTCCTTGGGCATGGGCATCCAAGGTGTTTACTATAGTAATTCCCAGGACTCTAGCTATGCACATTTAACCTCCTAGCATTCTCCATCCACTTCCTCAAAGTGTAGTTTGCCACAGCTATGTGTCATATCTTTATTTAAATTAATTTAATTTTGTACTGAATTAAGGCATCCTGTAATACCATTTTATCAGTATTTCAGTTACCTAAGGAAAAGGAGTTTTCACATGTGGTTCCATGTGGCTGACCCTCCTCACTCCTTTTCCCAGTTCTCTCCCCCAACATCTAGTAGAACAGAGCAAATTCAATATGGAGTTTAGGCTCAGAAGCATATTTTTAAGCAGCAGAGCTGAGCAATATACCAATATACATGTTACATTTCTCTACAGTTGTATCTCAGCATGAGTGTCAATTTTTATTTTTTTGGCTAGGGAGCAGCTGGAAACAGTAGTAGTCTCTTGTAACTCTCTTCAGACTATGGGGCCTAAAAATGATACTATTCCATATTATCCATATGTCAGAAATATTTTTATGAATTGATGCATTGAAAAAGTTAATAGCTTTTTATTCCACTTAACATCAAAGCATTTTTTTATCTTTAAAAGGATAAATATCATTACATAAGAAACCACAAAATACAGAAAATTAAGAGTTTATGCTTGTAGTTGATGTTTTAACTTACCCTACCTGAAGTAAGTTAATTTATACATAATTATTTATACATAAAACATATTCTTAAATTGCTCTGCCATCCTCTATTTACAGGCTCATATTGAAGACATAAGTGGAGGAGAGTATATAGTGTTTGGAATGGTCCTCTTTCTGTGGGAACATGTGCCAGCATGGTCAGTGGTACTGTTTTTCCGGGCACAGAGATTAAACCAGAATTTGGTACGATACATTATTCCCTAATGCCTGCTCTTATTTTTTAATGACTTTATTTTACTGATTTTATATTTTTGGCAAAGTTTAAGACTAAAAATGTCATAGACCCCAACCTCCTCTCTCACTTGCAAAGTAAACCTTCATATGCTATCCAATACTTCATTCACAGGCACCTGCTGGGATGATAAATAGTCACAGCTACAGTTCCAGAGCTTACTTTTTCGACAATCCAAGACGATATGATAGTGATGATGACTTGCCAAGACTGGGAAGTTCAAGAGAAGGAAGGTAGATGTACTGAATTAGTACTGAAATAGATGGAAAACAACAAATATCAGCTTTACCCCAATTATGAAAAAGGTTATTTGATGATATATGTCAATAAGTAAGATCATTTAATACTGGTGTGGCACAATAGATGCTAAACCCATGGTGGTGCCTGTATTATAAAGATCTAGCATCTGACTGTAAGCCCATATATGACCTTGATTTCAGAAATGCCTTTGGGGGTAAAATGGTACCATTTCATTTCAGGCTCCCTTGTTGGTTCAAAGCTGGCAGGGGTTGGTGAGCAGGAAAGGAATGCTATTTATAGTGATTATATGTTTCTGTATCTATAATGTTACTCAAAGTCCTCCAAGAAACTCTTAGAACCCTTGGAAAGCTTAGGTGCCATAGGAAATCTTGTGCCCTCCTTATTCTAAAACCATTGCAAGTCCATATCACCAGCTACTTACCAGGGCAAAGTACAGATGTTAGTGCACACTGATCTAATGCTTTGAGTTTGAGAGAGCATTTTCTGAAATCCTCATTCATCTGGACAAGTTAACCTCAGTTTTTTTAGCCTGTTTTTCATCTGTAAAATAGGAATGATAATAGAGCCTATCTTAAAGAATTGTTGTGAAGATTAAATGAGTGTATATGTGTGTGAATACATTATTACACATATATTATGCACCTACATAAATGTATCTTAGAATAGAGCCTAGTACATAATAAGCACTGTATTATTATTATCTGATAATCAAGTACTATTAGTTTTGAATGGCATTTATTCATTCTTCTGTAAAATGTGATATAGAATCAAGGATATCAGATAAGTCACTGAATTTTGTAGAAAGCTATAACATTATTTGGCAAAAAACATATTTCAATATATCTGGTACTAACTATATTATAAATTCATTGAAAACTAAACATGCCAATATGACTTATTATATCCTGACCACAATCCTATGGCTTTTTTGCCTTTTTTGTATTGCAGCTTATCAAATTCGCAAGGTTTGGGCTGGTACGGCACCATGACTGGCTGTGGCGGTAACAGTTACACGGTCTCCCCCCACCTGAGCGGGCCAGTGGCAGATGCTGCGCCTTTGCTCTTTACCTGTGGTAATTTAGATGCGAACCACCACCACAGCTTGTATGTAACACCACAAAACTGACAGCATTGCCAAGTCATGATTCTTGAATTGTTTTTCACAAACATGTATAGTCAATATGTTTAAATTCCATCTGCATAAACATTCCATTATCTGTTGCAACTGAAAACAAAGCCTGGAAATGTGGCTGTGTTCGCTAGAAGAAGCAGCTGTTACTTTTGACCTCTTCATAGTAAACTGGAAAGTTTGGAGTGGGGAAAAAGAGGGATTAGATCTTAAGGCACTTGATGGCCTCCAAACATCCTGACTTTGGAACATCAGATGCATATTTGCACTTTTATCTTCATTCTGAAAGAGTACACTGCAGTCCCCAAAGTCATACTCCAGTGTTTACACTGGGGTATTTATATTGTACACCAAATTAGGAGGCGATTTTCCTATGAAAATCAAAGCCTGTATATTCAATAATGGACTCTATGTGGAATTCTTACCCAATAAAAATTTTACAGTGTCAACAGTGCACAGAATTAAGGCATAAAAAAACATATCATTCTTTTGAAAAATCCACTGAAAAATGTGTAATCACTGAAGATAGTTCTTTTAAGCATGACTGTAAAATACCAACTGAAAGTATTCATGCAATCATTTTTTAAAAATGATAGTAATCTCTTACAGTGATGAGCAGCAGTTTTCTTTGGAAAGCCACAGTCATTTCTTCAACAAGAAAGTAGACCAGTGAAAATTATGTGGTTACTTCAAGTAGAACTGGTCAAGTGATTATTTTGTATGATTATGACATATGTAGTAGTTTAAGCATGATTCTTCAAGAAAGCAATAGTGATTTTTGCATAGGGAGATTTTGGTAGAAACTTCTTGGGACAAAAGTTTACAGAGGCATTTAAGAATTATTCATGAAATGTACAGTTCAAACATGAATACATATTCAAAAGCATTCCATTTAGCTGAAACAAGATATAGCTGACTTACCTATTGAATCAGGATTGTCCTCAGGTAAATTAAATCATGATACATTAGTGCAGTGAACATAAGTGCAATACTTTGTAAGACATGAATTCCCTTTAGTTTTCACATTTTTATATCTTGCATATTGGCAAAGCCAAATTCAATTTAATTCAACTTAACTCCAGTACTAGCCTAAATAAGCAAATTGATATAAAGGTACTAACTAGGTAAGTATAAAACTAGTGGAATGATTAATATTATTGGCATACTTAGAGAATTACACTGAAACGGTCTTGAATGTCTTATCCCAAATCTTAAAAAAATGATAAGCTAAGGTAATAGAGAATTTCTAAATGCACTTTCTACCAGTGTCTATATGGAAATAAGTAGATGTGGAATACCTCAAGATGTCAAGGGAACAGGCAACATTGAGAAGTCACAACATACTTAAAGATAACTAACTGTACACAATTGTCTGCCGATGTTTCTTCAGAACTGGAACTAATACAATTGTCCTTTTCTGTCTTCTATTTGAACAGAAAATTATGTCATTTCTACTCCTCCTTGAAATACTCAACTTTTTAATAATCGATGCAGTAACTTCAGAAAAGTCTAACAGTAGGTAAAACCCCAAGGAATAAATGAAATTTTTAGTGCTTTTGCTCTTTTGGGAAGTTGGTACATAACCAAACATATTTCTTTTTATCATACAAAATTACTTTGAGTTTAATCAGAAGCATAAACCTGTAGGTACACGTTACTTTGGGTTTATTTGTAAGTTCTTACTGTAAGCAAACTATTTTAAAATTTATACTGCAGAGGTTTTTACATGGCAATGTAATATGCACTTAACTGAGTATATTTTGACTCCAACTTCAGTTATTAGATTTCAGAATGCTGATTATTTTCCTGATTGTTAGGTATCTAACTGTATAGTTATCTGAAAAAGATATGTGTTCCTGGTTAATCCTTGGGGTTCAAAATAAATAGGGTAAATTTTTCTGTAAGGCTTCTTTAGATAATGTTCCTATTTGCCAGATAAGCTAACTTTTAATTTTTTTTTCAGATAAAATAACTTGGTTCTTTCATTTGGATTAGTTGATTCTTCCAAATCTGAGATTCGTTTATTGTAATCACTGACAAGAGTACCTGAATTCTTGAATTTGTCTCCTTATACACATCACTCATAATACATCACCAAAGACGACGGAGAAAGATAAGCTTCTGGCCCAATTTTTGCTTAAAAATTCCGAAGCACTAGGAGCACTTTAAGTTTGGTCTTGAAAGGAGGAGTTGTTTATAAAATCAAAGGGCTACCGATTCCCTGTTCATCCTGCACTGAAGCACATAATGACAACTTCAAACCTTCGTTTTCGGTTTAGTAATTAGAACAGTGAATGCCATTGCTTACGTGTGTGATTCTACAGTGATTAGCAGTACCAGTTTTTATTGTTTCATTTGGGTGCCCAATAATTTTGAAACTCTTACCACTCATATAGCTGGTTGTAGTTTTATGAAGATGTAATTTATAGCTAAGTGGCTTTTTTATGTATAGCTACCTTTTTTATTGTTTAACTGTTTCTCAGCTATATAATCAGTTTCAAACTGGTTGAAAAGTATAGCTGTGGCCAATGAATGTATTTATTTGTTTCACTAAATTGTAACAAAACACTACTGTTAAAAATAAAAGTGTTTGTGCTTTTATTGTGAGGTCTAGTTTTCTTAATCTCTTATTGGTAATCTCTACCAATTCAATCTCTATCATACAAGTATAAGAACTCCAGTGTTACCAAAAAAGAAGAAAAAAAAATCGAGAATTACAAATGACAGTTTGCTAAGAGTGAGCTGATAACTACCTACATGTGTACATCATGTCCCTTAGTATTATATACTCATTTGATAGGAACTGCCACACTTTATTTTAAAAGACCAGTGTGTTACAATGTTTATTCAAATATTAAGACAAAGCCTTCTATGGTATAATATAACACCTCTCTCTTCCCCTTAGAATCTTAAACAGGAATAAACTTATCTTACCAATAATTTTGGGCAGCTGTCCTTGGATTATTTGAAATTCCTCAGTGATGTTGCCTTTTCCCCTGAAAGAAGCGTTTTTAACTATTTTGTTCCAGAATCGATCCCTTTCCTAACACTCCAAAACCACACCACACACACGATTTCAGGAGCTTCACTGACCCCTGAAGTCCATAAATTGTTGGGAGTCTAATGACTCTTGCTGTAAGGAATACTTGTATATTACCCCTAATAAAGTCATTTTAAAAGCAATTCATTCAACATTTATTGTTTTCATATGCCAAAAACAACGCTATGGAGATGCAAAACTGGATAAAGTTCCTTTTCCTGCCCTTAAGGAGCTCACATTCTAGTAAAGGAAGCTTTAAAAAACAAAACAATACAGTACAATAAGTGACACGATAGAGGTAGGTTATAATTACAGTGGTGACACAAAAGAGGAAGTTAGATGATCCTCCTTGGATGCAACAAGGGAAATTTCACAGAGGTGATGCTTTACACTGGTCCTACGAGGATACAGAGGAATTTTCCTGGTGGGAAGGATGGGTAGGGCACTTGATGCAAAAAGAACAGCCTGCACCAAGGTGTGGAGGCCTGACCATGGTGCATTTGAAGACCTAAATCTGTTTTTCAGATCATAGTGGGGAGTGGACTGGGAGACACACATCAGAGGTCCTTGTTAGAGTGCTTCTAGAAAGCCCTCTCCAGTAGCATTGTGGAACCAAGAGAGGAGATGGACTGTGTATAAGGAAACAGGTTGGTGTAGTACTTGAAACAGAGCAATGGAAATGGAAAGACAGTGATCTATCAGAGACACGAAGATAAAATCTGTAGTACTGAGACACTAATTGGATATCAGGAAGATGGAGGAGAGGAGTGAGCATACAGAATTTAGATAATGGTTCTAAAAATAACCAGCCTGAGGAACATAGGTGTAAGTGCAGAGTCAGGGGCAAATGATTTTTAAGACACACCAGGTATCTGTGGGACCAAGTAAAGATATGCAGTAGACAAATGGATTGAAACGTCTGGACTAAAGATAAGAATTTGGAAATCACTGAATTGGAATTACTGAAGAGTGAGAAGTGTTGGTGGTTAAGAGAGCAAGAATGAAAGCCCGAGGAGTAACACTTTAGGTATGAATGAAGAGAGGCTGAAGAGGAAGCATCCAGGAGCACATGAAACATAAGGAACCCAAAGGAAAAAAAATGTTTAAAGAAGGGACTGTCAATGGTGTCAAATGCAGAAAAAAAGTCAAATTAGAAATTGCTTGTGAACAGAACTGTGGGTTTAAAATTGGGATTTCAGGCTTCAAAGGAAGAGATTATAAAGAACTGTGGAGCCAAAAGCCAGATTTTAGTTAAGGAGCAAGTGGGAGACATAACAAAGTGAAGATATGAATATTCTTTCAAAAGATCAGCTGTAAAAAAAAAGGGCAGGGGCATAACACATCAGAGATGTATACAGACAAAATTACCATTTAAACCCATCTACCAAATTTTCAGAGTACTACACATGTCCCTGAACTTTCTTATATGCTGTTCACTTCATAGGCTTTTGAGTCTCCAAGAATATTGACTTAATTAGTAGGTTAATGTCTTTCCTGCCCTATTCAAATGAGCAGGAAGGGAAAATACGACACATATTGTTGAACTTAACTCTGTGATCATTCATTTAAAGTATACTGAATATATATTCATACAATCATTCAACAAATGTTTATTGGATACCTACTATGTGCTTGGTACTATATAGCCCTTATGGACACAGCAGAAAACGTATACAGCAGTGTAAAATGACATTTCTAAACTTATGTAAATAAACCCTGCTTTATTAATAATGTGACATCCAAACATGGTATAATTGCTTAGACATATAAAGGGGGCACATGATTTTGAGGTATACAGTTTCTTTTTTCCCTACAGTTCACTATGTGACTTAAATTCCTAAACCCTTTCAAACACTTTTATTATTGAGGATCTTCCACAAATGAAAACCTTCCAAAATTATAGATTAGTTTTAGGGAGAAAAAGGAAATGAACATCATGTACAAAAGCCAAAAATTACATGCCCTAAGACTATATAGATCAAGCATTAAAAGGGCAACAAAACTCAAAAAGAATTTTAGATTGGAACTCAAAACGATTCCTTATTCTAAAGCTTATTATTGCTCCAGATTTTTGTCTGAAAAAAATTACTTTTAGAAAATGATTCAGTATTACACACTGAAGTATTTAGAGTTCAAAGGACATGATGTCTGGAACTGACTTTCAAATGACTGAGGAAAAAAGAGTACATGTGCATATGTATGTATGTATATATATATACATACATACATATGCACACACACAGAGTACATGAAAAATAAAGCAAATATAAACAATTAGTGAATCTGGGTAAAAGAGTTCTTTGTGCTATCCTGAAAACTTCTCTGTAAATTTGAAATTACATAAAAAAGTTTCCCCCAAATTTGATTCACTTTTAGGTAAAGTATTTATGAGAATATATAAATCTTGTCAACTTTTCACAATGTTTAGAAATCTCTTATGCCTTTGTGTAATTGTATCTTTCTACACACTAAAACAAGGCAATCAAAAGCATTATAATTCTAAAAGTCATTTATTTCATATCAATGTATTTTATAGTTACCAGATTAAAACACAGGACTCCCAGTTAAATTTGAATTTTAAACAACAAATAATTTTTTTAGTAAAAGTGTGTTCCAATATTGCATGCAACATACTTACACTGAAAAACTACTTGTTGTTTATTTGAAATTCAAATTTAACTGGACATGCTATATTTTTATTCACTAAATCTGGTAACCCTAAATATAGTAATAAATTGTAGGTGGTTGAGTTATGGGTTATTCATGAGCCTCCATAGCATTTTCCTATTAAATGCTTGTCACATTGGCCAGTTTTATTTATATTACATATTCTTATATAAAAGACTAGTTTGAGAGACTTAAAACATTATTTACTTAGTTTTACCATATGTGAATTTGATGATCTGTATTTTTTCAATATTATTTAAAACTTGTACGTCATCATCAAAGTATTACTTTTGCTCACAATGATAATATATATAGACTCAACACAATTGAAAAAAAGTTTACATAAAACAATATAATTCTCCTTTTACAAAAGCAGCTTTATAAAAATGTTTAGCTTAAAACTGTCATTGCTATTATGCCTTTGAATGAGCATCCACTCTTTGGCCTCCACTGTCCACAAACAGGCACATTTCAACTCATTTTCTTTAATGAATATTTTGTAACAAGTTCCTGAAGTTTTCTAATTCTTTCACACTTGTAGAAATTCTGTAACCAAAAAAAATATTTCACTCAGTAACTATTTTAGATATTTTTTCCCCGTAAGTTATTCACTCTGCATTTTTTAGAGCACAGAAAAATATTTATTTCAACAAATTAAAAGGTACATAAACCATTTAATCTATTTTCACATACCTTAGTTCTTAATTTGATGTGGTAAAACTAAGGTAATATTGCTCAGAAATCAATTATTTTTTAAGTATTCATAACTTGGTATTAAAGTTTTAAAACACAGTTATAATGTATATAAATATTAAAATGCTTAGCTATTTTAAGTATTCATAAATATATTCATATGCTTAGTATTGAAATGATATAAGGAAAAATTACATAAGCATTAAATATATATTTTAACATGTATAATACTGAAAATTAATCAATGTATATTTTAGTAAATATACAAAGAATCAAAGCTTTTGGATGATAGAGTGAAAATAGTAAATGTATGACCAAACTGTTTTCAATAATTTTTATAAAGAAAAAGTTTGTCCGTTATTCAAGTGTAATTCAGTTCTGCTCTCCACCATGAGAAAAGTGCAGAATATTCAATGAAACATAAATGTCAAGTTTCTATGTACTACAGAATAATTCTGAAGGTCAATTATTTCCAACCCCAAATATTAAATCATAATTTTTTTAAGTGAAGAAATGGAGTCAATAGAAAAATGCTAGTTTTTATAAATCTCTGCATTCTTTACATATGGTTAAGCCAGAAAGAAATGCATCTATACTAAATTTTGTAATATAAACTCCTTATTTCAAACTTATCCTCCAATCATTTTTATGAAAACTAATTATTTTTTAAAGAATTATTAACCTTTTTATATAATGGTGAATTCACAAAAAATTTTATGTATACACCTATATTAAACAACATGGTTTTTCCAGGACCTCCAAAAAAATATTTGGGCAGCACAAAAACTACTTTTAAATAATTAGAAAAAATATACAAATTCAGGAAGATGAATATTGAAGTCCAGTCAGTAAATTAATCATGGTTATAAAACTCAATAGGTTAAAATAAAGTATATCATCTTATAATTGCATTTCTATATACTTAGGTATTTCATAAGATCACAGAATTCTGTAGTTATTTAATTTCACTAAAAAGGATATTCCTTACCCAGCTTTATCTGAGAGTAAATGTATTGCATTAGACTTTCTTAGCTAGCAGAAACACTTTCAGTGCACTCAAACTAACCTTCCAAATGCATTAAATAATGATACTATTTCTTGTCTGGTTAGATGGAATTCATAACTGGGCCCACTTTCTGGAATATTTGCTATCAGTTTCTCAGAAAACAAAATCTTCAGAGCAGTACCCAAACCCTGAATC